TGGCGGGCTTCCATGTTGGCTGGGAAGGACGGGCCGCGCGAATCCACAGCTTCCGCAACGTGGGCTCACTCGGAAACTTGTGCGCAGGCCTGCCGCTGTAACATACGCTGTTCGAAGCAGTCTTGTGCAGCGCAGTACCGCGGCATAATTATTGAAGAAACTGGATCAGAATGAGGAACACTCGGCGCGGTTCTCCATTAGGACTGCAGCGGGACAACCGAGTCTGCCAAGGAGCGAGAGGTCTGTGACGTCAGTTCCGCTAGGGCTCCTCCGCGGTGGCGTCAATCGCACCGGCGGCTTCCGGCCGACGGATTGCTCGAACGCGGCTCTTCAATCAAAGGAAATATAATAATCCGATCACCATCCCTTGGTATGGTCTTGATTTTTAGGTATAGTAACGTCCCGGGCAGCTCGTCCGGGGCTTATTTTGAAAAGTTCAGATATCAGTTCAGTATCCCTTTAACCCCGCAACCACGAACGTCCTGTCCCCTTGACAATCCAAAAAGCTCCCCCCCCCCCCCCCCCCCCCCCCCCCCCCCCCCGAAAAACTACCCCGGCTCCCCACGAAGACCGTCCCGAACCGTCCCTCTCCACGGCGGCGTCAAAGGCGCCATTCCCGCCTTTGTCGGCGCCGAGGGTACCCCCCGGAAAAAAAAAAAAAAAAAAGAAACAAACAAAACTGGCTTTCGTCTTCCCGTTTGTGTCGCCGCCACGCGAGGCGGCTCACCGAAAAGGCAAATTGGCGAACGGGCACGGCGAGCAGCACAAAAACACAAAGACAAAAGTTCGCGGGAGAGACGGCCGGCGCCAGAGTTTGTGACAATGTTTTATTTGTAAAAATATCTGCTTGAGATAAGATGCGTCCTGCTGGGGAAAAACAAGAAGAAGAGAGGAAGATTATTACCATTTTCTAAGTGCTCGCAAAAAGCTGACTCACAAAAAGGGTAGGGTAGACGGAGCGTTGTCTCGTGTTGGAACATTATGAAAATGGTCGTAGTCACCATAACCGGGAAGGACATTGTTAATTCTTTTCAATGAAATTACCGCCTCGACCTTCCCGAAAAAGGCACACAATCACTTGGTGTCCTCCTCTCCTCGTCTTCGATGGAAAAGAAAAAAACAAAGGGACTATAAAAAACCGGAAATAACTTGCCCCCTCCACCCCAACCCCTCTTTTTTTTTTTTTGTAGAAATGTTCATTTGGATTTTGTACATTGTTGTTAGGGTCTAAAAAAAATAGATTAAGGGGCTTGGTGTTGCAGAAAAAAGGCTTTGCGGAACTGAAGAGTGCCAAGCCTCCCTTTGCGCTAGTCAATTCGCGTGACAGTGTCCCTGCGCTCAACTTCACAAAAGTGAAAAAAAAACAAAAAACTTCATTTAGAAGAAAGGGGGGGGGGGGGGGTTCTGAGAAAAAAATGTAACGGATTACAAGGAATCCGTTACGTCAAAAATGTAAGGGAATTACTTTAAAATTACTCTAGAAAATATGTAATTATTCCGTTACTAAATTACTGATAATTGTAAAGGATTACAAGTAATTTCGTTACTTGTAATGGATTACGTACAAGTCTGATCTCCTCCTCACTCCACCACTGGTCACATGACCTCCCTGTTAACCAATCAGTGTAGAACACCTCATTCCTTCTCTCCCACCCGCCAACCAATCAGTGCCGCGCCTCGCGGCCACGCATTTATCCAGTCTTCAACTTAGGGCTTCACGAAATGCCAAACACCTAGCCAAAGTACGTTTCACGTTAAAAATTAAGTTGTTAGTGTACTTGTTCCGTCAAGTTTCTCGCTATGATCGTGCCCAAACGCGCTGTTCCAATTTAAATACGTAGTCCGTACCAACTCGCCCAATTATACATTCTGTTAAGTTACAGTCCTACTCAACTGGTACAAGTGCTAAGCTTACTTTTGGCATAAGCTTGGACCGCTCACCAGAAACAGTGTTATGCGTCTTTAGACTGTCGACGATTGCGCACCTTGTGACGGTGGGCGGGAAGATGTAGGACCTCATAGAGTTGTAGACAACATTCTCTCGTTTGGGCGGCGGCGGTAGTGGTGGCGGGATGCCCCTGCCCCAGCGGGGACTGAACGCCGAGCCCCTGTCCTTGCCCTGGGACTTGCGTCGCTCCCGAATCAGCGCACCCTGAAGGTGGATGTTCTCGTCCTGGTACGTTCGGATCTCGTTCTTCATGTTGAGCCGCTGCACGTTCAGGTAGTCCGCCGTTGCCTCCATCTGGGAAATCATCTTGCTCACCTGCGAAGTCGAGTAGACTACTAACAGCGCGCGTATGGTGTCAATGTGCTCCAAGAGCTTGGAACGTTCGGCTGTGTAGTCCCGGTGCGGTGAAAGGGAGGTGCTACTGCCGGCTGATATACTCAGCGCGGCTCGTATAGCATATTTAGAAAGCCGGGAGTTTGTCTCAATGGGCGATTTGTCCCTCAGCTGTAAACGACCTACCGCACGCCGGTACGGTGCTCATCGAGATCGAAACAGGCAGCGGTGTGAACTAAACCGCAGAGTCCCTGGGTTCTGCAGCTCAAGCTTTCACTCCACTTGCTCCGAATTGCGGCGGGCTAACACACTCGGCCACCGAGCCGCTTGTGCCGTTCGTAGCAAAAAAAAAAAAAAAAAAAAATTCGAGGACATTTACGCACTTTGTATGAGTTGTGAATGCGAAAGCCTGAATGTCATTCTTCCGCTCCCTTACTTCGTCTGCGGAGTGCTGGCGTGGACGGCCACGTTTCGCTACTACCGAGGTAGCAGCCGCTGACGACATAGATGCCTAAGGCGCCGTCATGTTCCTCGGCGCCGAGAAGAGCAGAAGCGGCTGCAGCCCCACACCCAGAGCCTTCTTTATAGTATAAAAGGATCTGCCCCCACCTCCCTCCGGCAACGGCTAACGCGAGAGCGGCGGCCGAGCGCGCGCTCTCGTGAAGCGGCTGCCAATGGCTATCCAGGGAACGGTTTGCTCAGCCAATGGGAGAATGGGCATTTCTTTCGTGTTTTTTTGCGGTTACAGACGCCGTCGGCTCAGCTCCATGGGATAGTTAAGGCTATCACATTAAAAGGCCGGCAGCTTTGGGGAAGACGTGCGACCGAACGACTAGACATGAATGCTGCGTCGAAACAGACAAATCAGGACTTTTTGCTGTACTGCCCTCCAATAGTTTTTACCAGAAATGTGACATTGCGGTATTAATATTATTTTGAGTCTTCCGGTGAAGAGTTTAAGACGTCTCAAAAAGAGGTTGAGAAGACGTTTAAAGATGGTGATTTGACGCTCTTGGCGACCAAACTGAACAACCAAAAGCCTACATAAAATTCTTCTTGAAGGATCACAAGGTTAATTGTTTCGTCAGAGTTGTTGTCAACGAGGAAGGCACGTGGCAGAAGATTGTTTCTGAATTCCTACAAAGCATTCTCATGTCTGGAATTCAAAAGCCCGTTGTCATTAAGATCTTCAAATTATTTGATTGCAGACTTACAGCCATTTCGTGGGAATTCACGCTGTTTTCTTTAGACATCAATGATTCATTTTATTCTCATATGCCAAGCATTTTGTGTTGGTCAGTTTTGAGAGGAAAATTTAGTTAGCTTCAAGTTTCAGCCAAGAATGCAAGTGTCTGACTTTCTTAGAATTCCTGACTTGTACCTTCGGTTCACGGTAGTGGCTCGTGGTGGTCAAAAGTTTATTCAGCGGCAGGAATATGCATAGGTTCGGTGGTGGCTCCTGATCTCTCAGAAATCTACCTCCGATTCCTTGATATCAATGTATATGATTTGATCGAGGCTTGTAAACCTGGTTCTGTTGTCACTGAAGATACATGGACAATGTTTTGGTGTGTGCCCTGAATTCAACACTAGCAAACTCAATTGAAAACTGTGTAAAAGGAGGCCTCGGGGTTGCGATTTTCTATAGAGAGGTGGGAGAAAAACTCTCTTCAGTAGTTATACATTCACTTGAGACGACATTCGGGATTGTGCTGGTTGTACGGCCAAGCGGCGGCAAAATCAGTTCTTTTCTTCACTAGCTGCCATTCGAAAAATGTTAAGTCGGGTCTGATTCTGAATCTGATAAGTAACGCAGTCCAAAAATTGTGCACTCAACTAATAACGGTCTACACTCAAAATCCGTTTAGCCATTTCAATCATGCAAAATACGCTCAGGAGTTTCGGAACAAGCAGCTTTCTTACGTTGTATCCTCCGACCAAAAAGCTAAAAAAAGTCCCGAGCAGGGAGAGTATGTTGTCGTCCGGCTCGTTCTCTAATATTCCATAACCTCAAGAGTCTGGCTTATAGGTTTGTTTTTTATGTGGCGTTTTGCACAGACTATAGAGCGTAAAGTTTGACCTTATTTATTCCCGTTCCAAACGTTGCCTACAAAACAGAGAGAGAAGTGTCGCATGTGTTTCAGGAGTTGTCTTAAAATTCCTTTGGACTGTTGGTTATGTTATATTGGTCAAACAAAGCTCTATCATGGACAGTTTCACCGAACATAGGCGATATGTACAAAATAAGAAACCGTACTCAAACTTGCAAGGCACTTTAAAAAAAATGCAGTAATTGCATTTCTCGGTGTAATTTGACCTTTCTAATATCAACAAAAAAAATGAAAGACGTTTACAAATATCTGTAATTCGAAATTAGAGCGCAGCTCTTGAGAAAGAGGAGAGGACTGTACGGAGGGTATACCCAACACCAACTTGAAAGGGAGAAAGCCTCGGTTCTGCTCCTTTCCACTCTTATTACGTCAGCTAATAAGGCGGCTGCGAGAGGCGGCTCGACGAGTCCGGACCTGTCCAGGCATGTCGCCCCATTGCAGGTGCGGCTGAACAGTGAGCTCTACCAGTCCCCCGCAGAATCGGCCAGCTTCCGAGTGTCTTTTTCGACGTGCATATCTGTTCTGTCGAATTTCTCGTGTTTTGCGCGTCGCTGTGAGTTTTTTCGTGTCTCTGCAAGCTTGAGACATGTGAAAAGAGCGACGGTGAGATGCCGTGCAAGTGCTATGTGCCGCGATGCCGCGGAAACTACACCGTGGACACCAAAGTGCAGGTGTTCAAGTTCCCAAGAGATCAAACACTGAGGGACGCATGGATACGCGCTGTGCCGCGGGAAGACCTCTCCGTCACCGAGAATGCAAGGGTAAGCTTTCTTTTTGGTAGAGAATTAATTGTTTCATTGCAAATGGAAATTCAATATATGTATACATTCGTATAAATGTGGCTCGCAATCCGAACTTTTATGTCAAATACCCATTGGTATGTTCATTGGACGCAAAATTCCTTTCTAGGTATGCGAACTTCCCTTCGGACATGAGGACATCACCCGAGAAGCATCGCATACTGATGAAAGTACTGGCCGCACCATAACAGTGCTCTTATCCCATGTCCGTCTTCGCCCTGACGCTGTACCGTCAAAGTTCCCTAGCTGCCCGACCTACCTGCCTAGGGGAGCCACAAGAAGAGAAGATCCCGACTCCAAGCGAGCGCGCATGGAGCATGCTGCTATGCAAAAAGCTATCAATGAATGTCCGAGGAGATGTTTAACAGGGCACATGAAGAGGACAAAGTCCATTCTTTAGGAGAACTAATCGGACACTTGCGGAGCAAGGAGATGAAGTTTTGGAACATAATGGAAAAGAACGAAAGGCTTGTTATTATCCACATCGTCGACGAAGAGGCCCCGTGGCTGAAGTACTCTGTGTCTGCGTAAAAGGAGACATGAGCGTGACGCTACATGTCATAAAAACGGCGTCAAAAAAGTTAGTGGCAAATCTGGTCGTTCCAGAAATTGCTGACAGTAAGAAGGGTATAGTAGAACTCCTCGAAGGCATCGAGAAGTGGGACGGGGACCTGATTTCCAACTCAGTCGAGGAAATTTGCGAGGCTATTTACCTACTGCTGGATCAGTTGTCCACGTCCCACGCAGAAGACGACGCCGACTCCATGAGATTTCTGCGAGATCAAGTAAGCTTGTTCCAAGCGAAAAAACAGCGCAGACGCTACTCTGCAGATTTTATGGTGTTTTGTTGCATTCTTTTCACCATACCGCCCCATGCGTACGTTTATATACGCAGCCATAGAAGCGTCACTTTGCCGCATACCATGACGATCAGATCGGTATGCTCCTCTTATGGCATGAGTTTTCAACAAGAGCATCAGAGCGAAGCATTCTTCAAGTACATGGCGAGAAGAATTTCTGCCCTCAAAGATGACCAGCGCTTCGTCACCGTAATGGTAGACGAAATACACATCAAACCTTACTTTGAATACAAAGGGGGCAATATTACCGGAGCTGCGCTTAACTCAAATGAAGCTGCAAACTGTGCGCTCGTTTTCATGGTACGCAGCCTGAAGTGCAAATTCAAAGAAGTTGCGCACATCGTGCCAGTGCAGAGACCAGACGCGGAATTCCTGCACAAGATGCTGAAAGATGTGATTTGCGGGCTGGAAAAGATCGGGTACCACGTTGTGTCCGTCGTGAGTGACAACAACTTTGTGAACAGAAAAGCAATGTCCCACTTCGAATCGCCCGCTTCTAACAGAATTGTGTATCAACACCCATCAGACCCTGCAAGGCTGCTGTTTTTCGTTACAGACCCGGTACAGATACTAAAATGCATACGAAACAACTGGATCAACTAGAAGAATGACCAAATTTGCTTCTACTTCCCTGAGATGCAAACAAATGCGGCACAGTCAGAGCGCATGCAAACAGCGTCATTTTCGACAATCAGGGACCTTCACAGCAAAGAATGTGACCAGCTGTTGAAATATGGCTATGGGCTACCCGTCAAATATTGAAAGGCAGAACGTAAAGCTTGCCTTGCAAATCTTCGATGATTCTTTGCCTGTGGCGTTGCGTACTCTTGGAGCGAAGCACAACCTGTTCTCATTTGAGGCTACTACTACTTTCATCGAACCATACTCAAATGGTGGAAAATTGTGAATGTGAAAACTCCGTGGAAGGGAAAGAGGCTGAGGGACCAGTTCCAACAACCAGTGTTCTCCGTGGACAACGATCCAAAGATTGACTTCTTGTGCTTGCTTTTGAAATGGCTTGATGAGTGGAAAAACAAAGGCCTTGACAAAGGTACTCTGACAAAGGAGACTCACGCTGCGCTCGAGCACACAACCTATGCGCTTGTGGAGCTCGCTAGGCACAGCATCGAAGAGCTTAAAACGGCCTATGTTCATTTTGGTAAGATACAAACAGACTGCCTAGAGGACCGGTTTGGAAAGTATAGACAACTGACAGGTGCGCAGTATCATGTTTCTGTCAGGCAGATTTATGAAGTCGAAAACAAGCTGCGCCTGCAGAGCACCTTGCCGACTATTTCCACTGACCAGCATTGGGAATGTGTACGGAAGCAGGTACAGGCATTGCATCCCAGCTGCAACGTAGTTGTAAGCAGCGAGACTCTTTCGAAAATACAGGACATCCTTCCGATCCTGGTCTACGTTGCAGGATATGCCGTGTACGTGACCCTCCCAAAGTTGAATTGCGCAAAATGTAAGGACCCGTTGACCGTGGATAGGACAATCACGGTGTTTGCCGCCCATGAACACTATGATCTCGTGAAGCAGTTAGACCGAGGAGGTCTAGTGTACCCATCGATGTTTGCGCTTAATGCTGTTGCTCACAACTACGTTGTCGTAGAGCAGCTCGCTACGCAACCAGAACTGCTACTAATGCCCGAACAGCGCCAGGTCATCACGAAGCTGACGTTGCATTTGCTGGCCAACGAAGAGCCATCTGACGTCGACGCCTGCGAGAACGGCCACACGAGTGAATCTGTGCTGAAAGACATCCTTCGGTGCAGCACGAACGTTTTACTGAAGAACTTCTGTGGAAAGCTAAACGACAAGCTTCTCGACGCTGCTGACAAGTAAAAAAAAACGGAAAGCCGCAACTCTCCAGAAGAAATAGGTGTATTGCTCCTGATGAAGCGCAAGCACAAACGAAACTGGATTGTGTAAATAAATGTTTCGCTCCCATAATTTTCGTTCAGTGAAATTTCTTTTACAGCACATGCATGCTCGTTCTTGCAAGAAAAAAAAGTGCCCGCGCGGTAAATCGTTGCGACAACCTTTCTTGAACAGCGCTCCGCACTTTTACCAATCCGCCCTATCGTGTGACGTCACGGGAAGAGAGCTAAGGCCTTATACGTTTCTAGAGGGTGTTGGTATACCCCTTCTCCGTGCGCTGCCATCCTCCTCCTCTGTAGCCCCCTCCTCCTCCATACTCTCCTCTACTCCCACAGCGTCCCAGCTAAATTTAGCTGGAAAATTGACGCCACGTGACCTCAAGACTAATTCAGTTTCCCCGCTAAATTTAGCGGGGAAAATGACGTCACATGACTTTGAGTCACCTCACCAATGAACAAATTCAGTTTCTCCGCTAGATTTAGCGGGAAAATTGACATCGCTCGACCTCAACACCAATTCAATTTCCCGCTAAGTTTAGCGGGGACAATGACGTCACATGTCTTCGTGTCACGTCACCCATGAACAAATTCAGTTTCTCCTCTAGATTCACCAAGAAAATTGACGTGACGTTACCTCAACACCAATTCAATTTCCCTCTAAATTTAGCGGGGCGGTTACGCAGATGGCGACGTCGACGCCGCCATACACGAAGACGGGCGCCTAAGAGAACTGGAAAGAGTCGAGTTTCATCGAAAAGTATGGAAACGTAGGTAATAAGCACTTTATGTGTTTAAAGGCCGAGTGGAAAAGAGATTTCCTGACGTCTAGGGGGGTAATCACACGGGGGATGCTTTCGAGGACGGATGTGCGTAACGTCAGTGATCGGCGGAACTAGCGGAACTCCCTCCCACACTTAAACATTTACATGAACGGCGGGGAGCCGAGAGGAATCACAGTGTTATTAGACGCATTTAGCGGTCGCACTCTCGACAGCAGGGCTCAGTTTGCGCTGATGTAAGTGGAAAAATCGAGGCGTACCAGAAACGGCGATACGCGATGACTGCGGCAGCGCAGTTAGATGCGAAGGACGACGAACTGCTTCTTGCTAAAAAAAACATCATGCTTCTTGAATAGGTGAATGCAACACAAAAAACGTGGAATCCGAAACCAGTTGTATGAGCTAGGAGTTTGCCCTAGCTCATACAACCAGTTGTATGAGCTAGGGCAAGCTGGTTTGAGCTGGTACTGAAGGTGGTTCAAGCTTGTCAAGCTGGTTTAAGCTGGTTCCAGCTGACACCACGGACGGGCGAGCTGGTACTTGAGCTGGTTCAAGCTTGTCATGCAGGTTCAAGCTGGTTCTGAGTCTGGCCCAAGCTGGTTCAAGCCGGTCTTGCTGGGAGCGCGCACGCCAAGGTCGGCGAGAGCTTGTCGAACTGGCATTGCCGGGAGCGCGCGCGCCAAGGTCGACAGGGGTGGGGACGATGCCACGTTCTGTTCTTTGTCCTCTCGTTTTTGGTAGACGACCGGGCGCTTCCGGCACGCTGCGAGCTTCCTTTGTGTGCGAGAAAAGAGAGAGAGAGTGAGTGATAGGAACGGAGTATTTGAGACACGTTTGGCTATCTTGGACAGATTTTCGAAGGGACGGCTGTGAGCGCGTTGTTTGGCAACTACTTGAACGGCGGCGCAAGCGAAGCGGGGTTTATGGAGGCGGCGAGCGGCAGTCCGCTCAGCACGGGAAGAAATCGGATGCCCCGACGGAGGCGTCGTTTCGTGTCTTCGAACATCCGGGTGCTCGTGAATATGGTGGTGCCGAGGAGTTTCGCCAATGCCATCCAAGCCACACGGATTTCCTCGCCTCTGCCGACTACGCAGGAGGACGCTTCGCCCCCATTACGGGCGGGACCCAGGTTCGCTTTTCTCATCCGCGTAGTATTTTTTTATTGTTATTGCCTGTTTTGGTGTGTGTCTAGTATTTTTCGTGTTGAGAGATAAGCAATCTAGTTTTAATAGAATTGTTTGTTTTGCACCGAGAACCGCTATCTGTGCGGAGGTTAGTACTGCGTCAGCGCAGTGGATGTATAGCATCTGAGCTCGTGTGCAGACCGTAAATACGAAAATAATAAATTCGATGCCGAGCTGGTTTTTCTGAAGAGTTTGGCTTGCTTATCGAGTGTATTCATTTAAACTGGTTAAAATGGTGGGGAAGTACGCCAGCCAAACCAGCATGGGCTGTTCACCCAGCATGACTCAGCATTTGCCCAGCATTCACCCAGCACGACACAGCATCCAACCAGCTTGACCAGCACGGCAAGCTGGGCATGCTGAAGCAATAACCCAGCATGAAGCTGGGATGCTGGTACCAGCATGAGGCTGGGATGCTGGGACCAGCTTGTGCTGGGACCAGCACGACGAGCTGGGCATGCTGGGGCAAAAACCCAGCATGAAGCTGGGATGCTGGGACCTGCGTGAGGCTGGGATGCTGGGACCAGCTTGTGCTGGGACCAGCACGACAAGCTGGGCATGCTGGGGCAATAACCCAGCGTAAAGCTGGGATGCTGGGACCAGCTTGTGCTGGTTTTTTCAATAGGGTAGGTTGAT